TTTCACGGGAAGCGTTTTGAAGAGTAAAAAACGTGAAAAGTGAAATAGTCCCCGAGTTTTATTTAATCTTGCAATACTTGCTTGTAGTATGAGAAGAGTAAAAACACACAGTGCAAGTTCGTGTTCGCAAGAATAATTATTATAAATGTTAATTAACAAATCGTCTGTAAAAAAAAGTTAAGAATAAAAAGAGCTCGTAAATAGGGGATTGTACAATAAAGTGTAACCGCATCGTCTGAAACGAAGGCATCGCTTCGGAAAATTGTTTTTTCTTTAGAGAGCACATGCTGTCGACGAGTAGCCTTTCGCGGGACAGGTGAGAATGTTAAACGAACGGTGCAGGTAATTAAGCGAAAGTTGAGGGAGGGAACTCGGTTCATTGAAAAGGGCAAGGAACTCTCATGTAATGCGGACCGTAAAAAAATGGGGGGGGGGGGCTCCATGTTATTAACATACCTTATTGGCTTCCGGGAGTTCGAACATGCAAACGTGGGGACGAGTTCCCTGCACGCGTCGCGAGCTCTAACGACAGCCAAGGAAATAAGTAATTGAATTGGTGGTTTAAAAGTGTCATTGTGAGTTGAAACGGGCGAATACACTATTTTATAAGTGTAAATTTCCGTCACAAAAGAATCATTCTGTCATTCTGAGCTTGTGCGTTGTCGCCTTTAGTAATAGCCGGAAAATTAATAGTCAGAAAAAGGAGGTTTGCATAAGGTTGATCCCTCATGTTCCTTAACGTAAGGTTTCTGGGGGTGAGGCGACAAATAAGACAAGAAGAATGCACGATTTATCCTCCCAGACATCATAGGGCAAGCATTTCGTTTTAAAGAATGCAAACACGTTGTGCTCTTTCTGTGCCACGACCTAAGATGTGGTAGCAACCCACGAGTCATTGCTGAGCTTTAATTTCTCGTATCTCAATTTAATCTGCCGACTTTAATCTCACATTCCGAATTCCGAGCAGTGAGCCTACAAGGGGCTCTTGTTTGTTTCGTACGGTTTAACGCACGAGCCAAGCGCTGCCAACACAAGCAACGATCGGGGTGACCCAACTTTTGGCGAGGTTTCGCCGCTGGCGCGCGCGGAGCGTTTCGAGAAGCTGGCCAGGGGCGCCCCCCCTGCCCCCCCCCACAACCCCCTGTGCGCTGGACTGACGTGGGCGGCGGTGGTTGTCGCAGCCGCCACTCGCACACCACCGAGACGTCGAGCTCGTGGAAGGAGGGTCCCGACCTGCCGGCTCGGGGCTCCGACGCCTTCTCCTCCCACTTCAAGAGGTGCTGCACCGCCCACGCCCACGCCCTCGCCCACGCCCAGCGGGGCGGCGCGCGCCCGGCTCCACCCCGCCGCTCCCACCCTCCCAGTTATTCGCTGCTCTGTGCTCTCGGCCGTCGGCGGCTGGGTAGCCGGTGTCTCGCCGCACTTCTTCCGTGGCCTTCGTCAGGGCTGAAATGCGTCTGGGCGGTCGACGCTTGAGCGTGCATGCCCTGAGTGGTTGGTCGTTATTGGCCGTGTCTCAACGCTGGCGAAGGCCACGGAACTGGCTGAAATCAGCCAGCAAACACGCAAGCCTTCCACTTCATTCAGTGCTGTGGTGGTTGCCTCGCGATATTTATTTATTTATTTATTTATTTATTTATTTATTTATTTAACGCCATGGAACAATAAAATCTTATGTGAACTAGTTCGTACACAGTAAAGTTGAAAAGCTATTCATCAAAATCCTTGCACAAACAGTGCTGCCAACAAAACCCCACTAACATTTTATTCGTTTCATAAAGTAATTGTGAATATATGAATTGTGTAATAGGTGCGTGCATTTTTTGGCAAGTTCATGGAATGTAATGGCCTTTTGGTTCAGTGCCTCCTTCTCTATCTCTGTCTGGTTCCCACCTCTTCCCCTGGAGCCGGGTTCGCCGCCCCTACGGCTGCACTAACTGTAACACCTACTGGCTGCGTTCAGTAACTTCTAACTGGTTTGTGCTCTCACTTACTTTGCTTCTTCACTTTTGTATAAAGAAAGTTTCCAAGGCTGTCAAGAAGGTAGAGTAACCACTAATTATTCACACATTTGCTAAGCATGCAGCCCATGTTACAGAACGTACCAAGACAGAACTTGGATTCTCGTGGTTAAAGAAACTGTATTGACGTTTGTTTAATGCGAGTATATCGTAATGTGTATTATGCATGATTGTTAGTGGTTACAACATGCGCTGTATTCTTGCTTATACACGATACTTGGTAACTTTGTCAAATCTGTTACTAAGTTCAATATACTATAAGTAGATAGTATATTCAGTATACTATAAGTAATAGAAGTATTTTCTTGAACATCAAATATTGCACATTTAAACATTACCTGAGAAGTGGTGGTAGTACAGCGAGGACGTGATCTGATGTCTTCCAGTCGATAAAAAGATATTCGCGAATATTCCGTCATGAGAATAAAAAACAAAAGTTATTAGCGTTTTTCATTTGTCTCTGCATAGCATTACATAATGAATTAATATTTTCAGTTTAATTCTTATGGTTAGTCTTTTTAAACGAAATTTTCTGTACATTATCTTAATTTATGAAGCTCCCTTTTATAGCTACATTTGTATCCATTTTGTAAGTACTTTCGATCATGAGAGTTCCGTTGAGGTATTTCCGGCGTCTTCCGCAAGTTCCGACATTCGCAACTTACCACCACTTTGAGGTTTGCCTGTAGCGTTTGCCAATTGCATTCCAAACAATTTCTTCTGTGTGTGGACAATGGATGGAACTTGTTTGGAAAGTGTGTCTGCGGCGGGGAGCCGCTCGGGCCGACTGCCCCCGCACCTCGTGGCACCCGACCTCCGCGAGGTCACAGGCGACGCACGTTGGGGCAAGATCTCAAAAAGCTGGCCAACATTTCGTATGAAAACGCTATCCAAATTTAATGAGACTTTGTATACAATCGTTTTTTGGGCACGCCTTAAGGTTAATTGTCAATATCCAACAACAACAACAACAACAAAAAATGGCTGGTTCAATATGACGGATTAAAAATTTTCAAAACGCCTAAAAATATTTCAATTTTCATACAAATTTGAAATTTGAGTTTTATGGGTTCGCTGACTCCGATTCCAAGTTAACATTGCGAAAAGAAAAAAAGAAAAAAAAAGAAAAGAAAAGAAAAATAAGCCGGATTAAAAATTGGAAAAGTCTACAAATGTTTCTGAACGAAATGTAGAATAGCGGTTAGTAGCAAGGTTATTTTTGGTATTTCAATAGCTAAATAATAATGAACCGATGCCGTTTTTACAAATTTCGTTGTTGAACTCTGTGGAACGTTTAAATGTTTTCCACTTACAAAAAAAACAACATTAATTCTTACATAGTTTTGTTTAATCATTAATTATTACGAAAACAGCTGCTCGCTCAACGGCCACGTTTCCAATGATGCAGAACGTCACTGTTTGACCAGTCGGACCTTTTCTATCCGTGGAATTAGACATTCTGGGAACCAGTTGTACCCAGCTGCTTACTTAAAATTCCCTAAATAAAACCTTTTTTTTTCGACTGTTGGCCCGGTTGTTGAGATCTTTCGCCAATGCGCGACGGCCGCAGTGGGTGGTGGGTGGGCGGGCGATGTGTGTCCGGCGGTGCGCCACTTGCCTCCTTCGCCGCCGGACGGTCGCCCGCGGAGGTGTGTTAGCGCGGAGAAGTGCAGAGGCCGTGGGGCCATAAAGTGAAAAAACCGAAGGAGGTCTCTCGGCCCTCCATCTTTTTCATTCACACTCGAACGGGGTCTTCCTACAAAACTTGCACCATTCCCGGGGTTTTTGAAAATTATATAATAATTTTATGGCCGAAAATTTGTTTTAACTGTTTTATCCATTACAACAATGTAAATTCGTTTTAACGCGCTTTCTAGAGAAATAAAAAAGTTTATTTTACAACAGCGTTTATTTGACTCACAGTGGTAATACAGTTGACCTATAGTGAATGAGCGATCTATTTCGATTTCCTTAAGAACGATGTCAATGTGATGCTGAAAGATTGGTTCCGTTTCAGCAAAGATTTTATATGTATTTCATTTTTTCGCTTTAGATTACATAGTGGTAATGGATAAATAGATGTATGGTATTCGACGGCTAATAGATTTTATTCAACAAGCTCAATTTTATTTTTGATTGAAATCTTACAGTTCTCTCTTGTTTCATCTATCTCAAAAACATTTGATTTTACTTCAAAGAAGGTGGTGGATTTTTTCTTTATATTTTCTGTAGAATTCTTCTTGTAATTTCTTGGAATTTTTCTTAATATAAAAATGGTTGGGATTTGAAAAAAAAAAAGTAAACATAGAAGAGTTCCTCCAGATCACTCAATTGAAAGGCTTGTGGCAGTAATAAGATGAATCGCACCAGCCACAGCCAGCCTGCCAACATTCTTAACAGTTGTCAAAGTGTGTCGTCTCGTTACTTCCCCAAGCTCTTCCTAAATTAAAGGCACATTCACAATGCAAACATAAACATAAGCATGGCATTAACATAAAAGTTAGGACTACGTCCATAAGCGGACACATTCACAATGCGTTCGCATAAGCATAACACGTAAGGCGTTAACGTAAAAGCTTGCAAGCTTCAAGCTTATGTGCTTACGCTTAAGCAAGACATAAGAAATTAACCAATGACAGAACGGTAACTGAAAATCGAGAATCGAAATCTGAGCGAAGTCGATAGAAAAACTAACGCCATATGGGCCATGGACACAGTCGATACCTTGAAATCGATTCTCACATCCAACAAATAGTAAACCAGAATGTCTCACAGCCAATAGAAACTCTTAATTTGCTCACGTTTATGTCGGACATTGTGAATAATTGAGCCCATCACTTATGTTAACGTTAGTGTCAATGCACTATGCTTATGTCTACGTTAGCATTGTGAGCGGGCCTTCAGAAGGCAAGGCCACCGGGCGCGAGACTCGAGCGAGGCGAGGCCCTGACCGCGCGCGTGTGTGTGTTTCTTTCGCAGCACGTCGTCCACCACGTCGTCCACCAACGACGGCGCGCGCGGGGGCGAGGTGCGCACGTGGCTGGACGGGCTCAACTCGCCGCTCATCCAGGACGAAGGCAGCAACAAGATGCTCAAGCTGCGCTTCGACGTCAGCCAGTACCAGCCCGAGGAGATCGTCGTCAAGACCGTCGACAACAAGCTGCTGGTGAGTGCGCGGCGGCGCGGCGGTTCGCTCGGCTTTGCCACTACAGCAGGGCTAAATAAATAAAAATTTTTTTTAAAAAAACGCATCGCCTAAAAAAATGGACGTTCTGTGTTTCCCTAATCCTATCTGCTATCAAAATTGTTCAACAAATAAATTGGTAATCATATTTTATGTGGATTATATGTTTCTGACTCCATTATCTTCATAACTCACTCGATGTGTGCAAATAAAGGGATGTCTTTTCAGGATTATATTGCAGATTACAACTGTGAGAAAGGTGATGCGGTTATATTTTAGCACTACTGTAGCTAGACGGCTAGATTGATATTTACTAGGCTGTCCGGGTGATGCCGCGTCCACGGCGTAATGCATTACGCCCTGAGGAAGGTCGCAGAATGGCGACCGAAACGTCGGCACCTTCGCCATGGACGCGGCGTCACCTGGACAGCCTAGTAAATACTGACTCCGGCCGCGGAAGCCTACGCTCTCTGCTAGATTGAATTCAGTCGCTGTGACAGCTAGATTGAATTCAGTCGCAGAATTCTAGCGGACGGCTGCTCCCATTGGTATGATTGCGAAGGCTTCCGCGGCCGGAGTTCGTATTGTCTAGGCCAGTGGGTTGCCCAAATAATGGCCCGCGGTGCTTTTTATTGTGTCCCGCGAAAGGTTACTACACAAAAGTTAGTCTCTTGTATCCATGTCGGGCTGACAATATTGTGCGCCTAGTGTACGCGCCCTGCTGGGAGCAAATATCCCCTTAATGTAAAAACTGGTTAAGTTTAGATTTAAAGATTTTTTCTAGTATATTCAGAACTCCCCAATCATCCCAATATTTCACTGTTTTATACATGGAGCGTCCTGATATCAAGAATGGTTCCATTTCCCCCCCCCCCTTTCAGAGCAGCCGGGCAAAGTTCGAGATCAACGCAGCCCAAGTAATGGAAATATGCCCCCTAACCAAATTAAGGTTTTAGTTGTGGCCCGCGAAACCTTTCAAGTTGGGCACCTCTGGTCTAGGCTAACCGCGATGAGCCGCGTCTCTGTCGCGGTGGCTGACGTTTCGGCGACATGTTGAGGCGTTCTTCATTATTGATAGTACGCTCTGAGGAAGGTCACAACATGTTGGTCGAAACGTCAGCACCCCACGACAGAGTCGTGGCTCATCCCGGATCGCCTGGACAATGCTCTGATCGGTAGTTCCCCGTGGCCTGTCTGATGCGGACAGGTGACGGCGTTTCTCCTCGCTAGAAAATGAAATCCGGCGCCGACCTACCCGTTGGTTTTCGGGAGTTTTCCGCTTACAGCGTTTCTCTCCCATTAGAGCACCGCCCCAGCCGGGGCACGCTCTACGCTCCCGACAGATCTTGTAGTATAATGCGTGTTAGTGTAAGGGATGGTGTGTAAGATGAGAGGAGTGGCAAGGTTTAGGAAGGGAATATCGCCGTGGCCCGTTTGTTAGGGTACTGCTCCGGCATTTGACTGGAGTAGATCGGAGAAACCACAGAAAAGAAACCGATCACAGCAGCCGCACACAGCAATTCTTCAGATGATGGTTGAATTTGTTCTGGCGATTTAGGTAGTGTCGAAAATTCCGCCACCGTCAGGTATCGAACCCTTAGACCTCCAGATCAGCGAAGCCGCGGAGGCAACGACATTGCTAGCATTGCCATCACCTCCGTTGTGAAGAGTACTGGAGGGAATATGTTTTCCGGGCTTATCCAGATGACAGCAGCAGTACTTATTAGCTGCAGAAAGAAAAAAAGCTTCTTTAAGGTGGCAGCGACATTTTGAAGTCGGTATTTTAAGCGAGTGTAATAAGCTGGCAGTTTTGAAGTAGGCACCCCCGTAGTGGTGTTCGTGTCGGTCCGACTGTGCTCGCCACGCTGCTAGCTTCCGTCCCGTTGCAAGCAACCCCGTTGAAACGGTCCTGCGCGGCGGCGGCGGCGGCGGCGGCGGCGGCCGACGCAGGCTGCTGCGGAGCTGATCTGCGACTGTCAGCGACAACAGGCCGAGAATGCGGAAACAGACGGACGGACGGACGGAGCGCCGTGTTTTTCGCGCCCGCGCAGCTGCCTCCGATTGCAGCGCCGCTTTTTGTGTGCAGCTGCGGGGTATCGGACAATACTGCGACTATTCTGCACTCCGCTAGCGCTGGTTGGCGTCTAATGCCCGTGCTCCTGAATGGGCCCCTCCAGGGGATAATTGGGGAAATTGAGGGTGCTTAGGGCGTCCTGTCTCTGGGAAAGTGCGACTGGACGTGTGGGATACAACAATGGCAATAAGTGAACCGTTGGGTCACGTTTGTTCCAAATTAAGGGATATTACTTTTCATTTTGTTTCTTTCTTTCGCCTCCTAATTTACTCTTCCTTATCGTCTACCATTTTGTATCGTCTATTCTCTTCCTTAACCTAACTCTTCCTTCTCACCCTCCCTACTCTCATCATCTCTCCCTTGTGTACGTTTTTTCTTCGACTCTATCCAAGTTCTTTCGTCTCTTCCTCCCCCACTCCTTTTCCTTCATGCATCTCTTGAACCCTTCTCCTCCCGTTCCCCTTCCCTCTTTCTTACCTTCTGTCTGCCCCTTTTTCTCTTGCTCTCTCTCTCTCTAATCCTCTTCTCCCCCAATCCACACACATCTCCTTTTTCTGCCCCTGCTTCCTTTATTTCACCGCTTTCTAAACTGAATCCTTGTGCCTTGTGATTAATTGTCGGCTTCAGTCTGAACATGGGTTTAGTGTGCTGTCGAACGATGTTCAATTCTCTTAAGACTCGAAGAATGATGCAACGTTCACGTTTTCCTCTCCTCTAACGTGACTCGTGTTCGGATGGAGTAATCTTCCGCCCCGTGCTCACGTTTTCCTAATTAACGCCTGCAATGTGTGTTATACAAGAGGTGGAGATTATTTTATGCTTCACTGAATGGAAAAACAAAGCCCCACGCGGCAGACCATGTGGAAGCGATTTTTCTCATTTGAACCGGAAGCACGTGATGGCAGAGAAAGAAACTGTGAATGAATTGTGTTGCAATCATTATCAGATCTTCAGGGTATGCTCTTTACAATGCCACCATTCATTCAAAATACACACCACCACAAAATACAATGCCACCACATTTATCTGTGATAACAATAACTTTATTTCTTCGAAGCTTACAACGGTTGTTGACTATTGTTTGTGAGCAATTTAAAAAAAATTGGTGGTGAAAAATCTGAAGAACGTAACATTATCAAGGAACTTACGAATTCAATGTTTCTTTCTCCTACAAATTGAAACAGGTTTCTTTTACAAATTTTTCGCTCCATTAAATGGAACCAATACGAATTTTTCATTTGTAGCTGCAAAGTATTGCAGTAAAAAGGATGAAAATATTAGTCTTAAAAAAATTAGACCCTAACAATGAATAGTTTGAGAGAAAGAAATATGAAACTTTGCTCGTAAAATTACATTGTTTCTGAAGGCATCGTTCAACCTCCTGGCTTTTAACCTTGCTTCATCATTAAACTTTAAGTTGATATTTATTGCCAACGTTTGATGCAATTCATCCACTGAAAATTAATGAATGATAAATTGATTTCATTACATTTATTGGAAAGAGCGAATAAGTAAGCTCATTTTCGTTTGAATGGCAATTCCGAAGAAGGAAATGTTTCCCAGTTTGCAAGAAGTCCTTCTGTACAACTAATAAACAAATCGCTATATTTAAAAAATAGATTCACATATAAAGCAACAACTTCACAAGAGTTCTCTTGAGACATGCAGTATTTGAGATACAAAATTGCGTCAAATTCCAAGATGGTCGAATGGGACACTTTTTCAAAATTGTTTTGGAATGACCCGTTTTTTAACTTCAAAACCACTTTTCACTTGTTAAGACAAAAATCTTTCACTGTCACTTATTAACACAAAATACGTGTCTTTAACTAAAAAATCACAATATATCAATAAAATTATGTGAGGATATTTCTTAAAGAATACTTTATTCATTGTCATTTAAAAGCAAAAAGATAGAATCACGAGTTGCAGAGTTTATGGTATCTATATTATGTGTTATCGTCCGCCATTTTTAATGCTGTCTGAAGAAAATCCCCACCACCTTTGGTGACTTCCTGCACTTTTACGTGTACGAAGGTCTCGTATTAAGAATCAAAAGAAAAACCGCGACGTATCGAAAAAGGTATCGATACGCCCGCCATTGCGGCCTGCTCTAAATTCATGTAGTCTCGAGTACGAATATTCGCCTCCTGACTGCAGAATCTTCCACTTCAAGGGTTTCCCCTGTCACTCACCGAATGCGTATCTTCGCCGCTGCTTTGATGCGGTAGAGAGATCCTCTGGAGTGGTGCCAGAGGACGGACCTATGTGAGGTTGGGCCCCACAAATTGAAACTTTGAAATTCATATGGATTCGTTTGGCCACTTTTCTCCATCTTTAGAAAAATGTTTGCCAGTTTCTGTTCGTAAGTAGAGCAAAAACAAATTTTTCGGACTCACTTCATACTTTTAAACACTATACAAGTTCGCCTAAAGTAATTAAAATACCGAAATTTGACGTGGACATTTGTTTATCCATCGTTTGACCACCATTAATCACTGACATGAATACACACATGAATATTATTTTTCCTCGTTCCCCCTGTCAGAGAATGCTGAAAAATGTATTGCAACGTGGCTGGTGCCCAACAAACTGGCGATTGCATCTCGACCGAATTAAGGAAATGTAATTTTCAAAATTCAGAACACTAATATAATATAAAAATCTACGCAATTCATGTGAATTAATTACAATTAAGTTTAATAAAAGTGCATTACCCTTGTATTAATTGCAGCAATGAAAGATCCCCCACACACACACACACACGTATTCCCGATGACGCTCGGATAATAACTCAAAATAACAGCAGTTCGGCCGGGAAGATCATTGCACAAACCGTCTATAGCAGAGTGCGTCTTCTAACAAACCCTTATCCAGTTTTAGATAGTAACCACCATCAACGGAAAAGCCACAATAAATTTTCAAACCAGGCTGAAGCTGGCCCAAAGAAATTGAAAAATAAAAATTTATTTTGTGGAATTGTTTGACCACGTTTGCCAACCCTTTAGAAAATACTTACCAGCTACTGTTTAAGAATTATTGGCAAAAAACCTTTTACCCGCCATATTTAAAAATCAACTCGACATGCATATTGAATTTTACAAACGACTTGAGTTGACAAAATTTGGTTTGGAAATACAAAGCTAATATTGACTATCAAAGTATCTTAGAAAATTTGCAGTGCGTGATTATTTTGAATGAAAATATTTTTATTTTTTTCACTTCTATGACGGGGGAAGTTCTGTGCCCCTGTCCTCTTTTCCCTTGAAAAACTAATCTCCTCCCGAAACATTTTGACTCCGGGGCTGCTGATTTCATGGTAATTAAATGAAATTTCAGGTCTCGCCGCATGATATGGCGTTTATACTGTAAAACTCTTTAACTATTGGTACAGATGTTCGTTGGTTTCCTAATTTCCTCAGTCTGGGCTAGCATTTCGGTTTTACTCCTCTTCGTAGGTACTACCTATCGGTGCCTAAAATACACATTTTCTCAATTTTTCATTTCTCTAATAGTAGCATTAAAATATGAAAGAAAAAGACCTTGCCAGGTATGAATATTATCATTAAAAATATGATGCCTTTTAGAAATTCGTTTGAGCGTTTCTGAAAATGCGCAATTTTGAGCTCATTTTCACAGAAAAATTTTGAGTTTTCGAGAAATTTTGTAAGATATCATTTGAAGCTCTTGTACTAAAAAATGCAAAAATATATTTTTTTACATCGTTCGTAATGTAAATATTAGCGACGTGAGGTATTTAAAAAAATGTTTGTGTAATTTTTGAAAAATCAAAACAGTACTTCAAATGCAAAAATAAGAAGAAAGTAGCCACACAGCACATGTTGGTTCTTGTTCCTCGTCGTCAACAGACGACAATTTCAAACAATATTTCTGATTTGCTTGAATCTCTTCTGACGTTTCTATTATTATTAGGACATGCCGATTTAATAAGATAGAATTTTATTTAATTCTTGTGTCTAACTAAATAACATATAAGCAAGAATAAAATTGTTATCATAATATTTTTTCGTGCCGACTCTCTCCTGCATCATGTTTTATCCATATAATACCTACCACCTGCCTATCCCAATCAACATTCTTACGCATTTTGTATTGCTTTTTTCGCGCCTAGTTTTCGGTGTCGCATAACCTGAAGTCTAAGCACCAGTTGTCTTGATAACGCCCTCACTTTGCGCTCTTGGCTTTCAAGAGAAATTATGACTTTCAAAAGTCGTGACATAAGTCGCGGAATAAGAAAGCTGCCAACTACAAATAATTATTTATAGCCGTAAACGTTTAAGGCTCAGTGAAGTTTCGCTATGCCTGTTCACTTTCACGACAATGTTGCTGCCTTCGGGGCACGTTATCAACCTGAAACATGTATCCAACGGGTCATTTCCAATGCATTTCACTCCAAAATAGTTGTTTTAGAACGCTGAACTTGACATTCGAGACATGGACACGCGTGTCGACGCTGGAGATGAGGCTCCGGCCTTCGGTCTACAGAGCGGTGTCCAAAGTCTCACGGGTCACACCCAAAACCTTTAATACGTTTGCGGGCTATATTTTCATTACTCGGACGACCCAAACCTGACTTCATCGTATAGTTGATCTCGGCTTTTTGCCCGGCTGCCCTAATACGGGGAAATGGAAATAGAACCATGCGTGATATCAGACCGCATCATGCATAACGTAGTGAATCACGCTGGGAATATTCTGAATTTACTAGAAACAATTCTTAAATCTATTCTTAACTAATTTTTACAAAAAAGGGCGTTGACGCCAGCAGGGCTCGTACGCTAGGATCACTATATTCTTGCTCGACATGGATCAAAAGGACTTTTACCTGAAGTTTTGGCTAATAACTTTTCGCAGGCCACAATAAATGGCACCGCGGACCGCCAGCTGGACAACCCTGATATAAAACATCATTGAGCTTGTCCAGTGTTCAATTTCTAACACATTTTACGCCTAAATACTTTTTAATAAATTGAAAGTAGTCGTTCTCATCTAAACTCGCAACAGCATGCTTCGTTTCTGTTATTGGATCAATTTCCCGACGTCGAAGTCTATTTGCCACCACAAGGGATAATATCCGAAGACATCAAACTGGACAGGCACTGCATCTACGACCTCCCTAAAACAACCTGGTTGCGCCCCTGAAAGTGCTCCCGATTAGAGTTACTAGACGTTCTCATTTATAAGGACTTGTCCTGATTTTTTAACATGTATAATCTATTTACTGTTTTATTTAATTTTAATTTTATGGGTGAAACTCAGTGCTTCTAACTTTAAGAACAAAAAGAAGGCCCTATCACTTATTCTTATATTTGTATGGGGAATATTGAAACATAGGAAGTATCACCAAAGCTACCATAGTCATAAACTTTACCGTCAAATGCAATATTAACATATAAATTGATCTCTCTTGTGTAGTATGAGAACTTTGTATGTCATTACTCGTGATAAAAAATCCAGCCTTTTTGTGTGATGCCCTGATATTTTTATCCAACGATCCTGATTTTTTTAAACTAAGTGTCTGGTAACCTTCCCAAGACCGTTCTTGTGTCCAGATCTGAACTCATGTGTGTTGCGATGTGTCCTTGCGCAGGTGCACGCGAAGCACGAGGAGAAGACGGAGAGCAAGTCTGTGTACCGAGAGTACAACCGGGAGTTCATGCTGCCCAAGGGCACCAACCCCGAGAGCATCAAGTCGTCGCTGAGCAAGGACGGCGTGCTGACGGTGGAGGCGCCCCTGCCAGCCATCGAGGGCGAGAAACTCATCCCCATCGCGCAGCAGTAGAGCGCGCGCGCGTCGCCCGCACCGACCACGATTCCCGAACACAAAATGGACGCGCGCAAAAGCAAATGGCCGCTCTATATCTATACAGCCTATTTAATTCTAATATGTTATTTATTGAATATTATTGAAGAATTTTAACGACTTTAAAAATAAAATTGTATTTAATTCCAATCAAAATGTATTCGTTTTTTTAATGGGAAGAAGTTCCCTAATACACCATGAAGATTGACTGCGTAGAATTGGTATCATTGTAATACCAGCGTTTTATTTACGAGGTCGGGACTATGTCTTAGAGCCCAATGGAGACTACGAATTGTGTAAGTAATGGCTTAACAGCAAATGTAGTTAATGGCTTAATAATGGGTACTAGGGTATTTCTTTGGCAGCTACAGTGTTCATAATATTTAAAGCAGTGCTACCCTCATTTACTTTTAATATTCCAAGATTGTACTTACCGTTTTAATTATCTTCTCGCTAAATCGAAAAAAAGTATTCAGAAATTTAATTAAAATGGCAATAAAATCCAAAAATTAGTTATTTATTGACTTTACACTAAACGTTCGGGAATCGTGTCGTTTGTGAAACAGCCGTCATTATTTGGCATTCAATGCGACACCTAGCATAAATTCCACCAAGAAGCATGAGAAGCGACGGCTAACAGCAATTCCTGTTTTCCTCTCACACACGCGGAAAGCAAGCGTTGCCACGGGGATGCAAATCACCCTTTTAAAAATGGTTGATTTTTGCCAACACTCGCGTCAATTTCGGGCACAAAACATGAATTGACACTGCTGAATACTACTTCGCCTCACGATGATTCAGCACAGTTTTATGCAACGCCGTTGAATAGACCATCTCACGCTATTTTTTACACCGAGCTTTTTAATCTAGTTTTGAGATACAGAAAATATTTTTATGTGTACTTTGCAGATAGCAAATGCATAGTTCTTGAGAATTTCTCACACAGTGAATCTATAGGACGTTTTAATTACAATACCAGAGGTTAAAATGTAAGTTAGGCTTTCATAATCAAATAAAAGAGAAAATCAACGTATCTGTGTTTTCAATCAATTAAAAGAGAGATACACTTATGTATGTTTTCATGTGAAATCTTCAGAGCAAGTTTAAAGTCGTGCTGATGACATAGTATATATTGTAAAAATATTTCGTGACTTGACTTTCATAACGCAACTGATAGGCGCTCGCAGATGGTTTAATTCCTACTGTCAAGGCTACTGTAGTTTGGATTGTACCAGCTGCATGCGACTTGAGTTGTCGATGCTGCAGTGTTTGCCATGATGCATGTTACAACACTGTCTTCTGTTCGTTGTGTGTTAAAAATTTGAGTTATTGTATAAATAATTCTTTTTACAAAAAATGTTAGCACTAAAATAAAGTGTTGAATAAAGTGGTTACAGCTGTTTTATTTAATTTGGGGTTCCCTCTTCACATTCATTTTCCTAAAATTCTCTCCTTATCTGTAATATTTGCTTCAATTACTCATATATTGTGATATTGTATTACATTCTAGGTGTGTCCTGTGTAATTTACAAGTACTAAGTTACTAGTTTTGCTCCTTTGAATACAATATCAGCGCCATTAACGTGGAGATACTCCATCATTCCACTCCCGTTTTGAAGAAGTGTTCGGGGTTTCGACGCGTGGGCGGCGACTACGCTGAAATGACAGCGTCTGCTCAATCAACTGCACCCTTTTTTTGTATGGAAGGGGGTGCTTTCTTGCTGAGCAAGCAACAATCATAATGAATGATCTCCGATTACTGAATGAGTTTTACAATAATTACTTAATTCCACATTTTATTTGGATGAATGAATTTTAGTATTGCCATCAAATGAAGAATTTCTAAAGCAATTTGAATTTCAATATTTTCTTTAAAGGAGACCAGAAGAAGTTTAGGAAGATTTATTGAAAGAAAAGAAAATCAGACAAGCAACATCCTATTGCGACACGCCTTCCGCCCCATTTCCGTCGCTTCAGAAAGATCTACTCAGGCAAATCTAGCGATGACCACTCAAAAATGCCATTCCTCGCCACTTCATTAACAATTCCAGAGGTAATTGTATAGTTTCTCAAAATTCAAGTAAGTAATTGAAATTTAGCACCTAGTAATGTATCAACATAGCATTGATAATGTGTGCAAAATTTCAACCTTCTAGCTCTTACCATTACTATAAAAATTAGGTGTTAAGTTGATGAGTTTTACAAAATATACTGAAATAGTGTTTTTTCAGTCAGCATTTACAGAAAATTACTTACTTCACGGACATTACTTAATATTTTTCGTCGTGGTGTTTTTGTCAAGTGACTTCCAAACCCGTGTGGCAGCAGACCTCAGTGCAAAACATGTACTTAATGCCCTAGGTACACAAATATTGTGAATACATGCACTACAAACGACCTTTTCCGTTGCATGAAATCGTTCTTAAAATAGCATTTTAGGACACATCAGACGTTTAAGGCACAAATAATTGCGTACTCACCCACATCATAGTCTCTCCCTGTCCACCCAACCCATCTTCCCCGCGTGTTGTCATAATATCATCATCTCTGTTGTCAACTGAAAAACTGCTTTTGAAATTTATTTTCAAAATATATTTTGATTCTTTTATAAACTTATAATTCTGGTAAACAAAAAAATAGGGTATGCAACTCGATTTTAATGTTGCTTTATTGCATTCGTACAAAATTCACAATGTACGAAAACAACATCCATAAATTTTTGATATTTTGGAGTCTCACTGAGGAGCAAGGTAGATAGCAAGCAAGAAAGAGTTAGGTACAGTGAAATCTCAGTATAACAGACCAGTATTACATACATTTCAGTTTATGTACATATTTGAAATCCCTGTTTAAATGTGCTATGTTACAATGTAAAGATATTTCTCTTTTACGAACTCTTTACTCAGACCTATTTCAGTACTATGTTGTAAAAATATATGAATTAGTACTTTGTATTATTATTTATTATCAAATCATTATTTGAGGAAGAACAGATTGTCGAAAGCAACTTTCTCAAAAAGACTAAACAAATTTCCATCAGAGAATATCTTAATGAGTGATACTGTATGTACTTTTTTCCATTATTTTTTTTATTGGGCAAACTATTTAAAATAAATTAGTTAAAACTGTGTTTTCAATATTAAGTACTTTTCAGTATAAAGTATAAATAAAATGATTTTATGATGTACTTTATACTAAGATTTAACTGTACCCTTGCAAAAACAAAATACTTGAAGGTTCATGTGTAAGTGACAGATGAGAGAAGACCATCAAAATCAGTGTTGTAGACAATCACTTTCCGAGTTAAATGAAAGCACACATGTATGACTGATTGTTTCATCTTGGATTATTTGTGTGTATAGTCTTTCAATGCCATTTTTTTAAATTGCATTGAAGAAACTTCAAAAGTTGTCCTAATGTGCCAAACTTTAGGGATAGAGAATAAAGAATTTATGTTTGAAGTTTAGGAAGTTACTTCTGAAGAATTCGCGCACCATTTATATTTCGGGCTCATAATTTAATAAATAGGCCATTTTGCATTTTTTTATGCTTTAAAAGCTTAAAGACAGTAGCACTATTTTTTATAATGTCTATTATCTTAAAATTTTGAAAAGAAAGCAAGAATGTATGCACTTACTTTTCAGAAGTGCAAAAGTTCAGTAATTGTAATTCTCTTTAATTATTGGAATTATCTTAATTGTCATGGAACATTGTTCTGAAAAAACCTATGTAAGGGGGGAGGATTGTGTTATGTATTTCATATTTAGAGGTATTGGAAAATAAGAAGAGCTCACGTTACTAAATGCAATCATTTATTTATTTGCAATAAATGAGCAATAATACCATAAAATAATTAAGGTAAAAAAAATCATAAATTCATTGTCAGAAATATCAATTTCAGTCCTCACTCATTTCACAAAGAAAAATTATTTAAATTACTTTTCGTTCTTGTCAAACAAATTAAAAAAATATATTATGAATTAAATTAATTTCAGAAATTGTTAGAAAGACTGATATTGCCATTCAAATAGAAGATAGGATTGACTGAAGATGCAATGACACTCTGAAGTGCTGGAAATATTCCTGATTGGAATATCCTTTCCCTTGAACCGAAACTTAAAACATCTTTCAGATTTTTCCAAAGAAAGAACAGTAACACTTGTGCAAAGTGGAACATAATTGTGTAAATCTGTTCAATATTAACAGAAACAGTGATCCTGTCTAATGTTTTGCTTGATTTCTATAATACGAAATCATGTCTAAATAATGCAAAAATATATATTGAGATTCCACTTTGAGCAGCAAGTTTTACTGTGCAACAAATTATCCATACATGCAAATATTCAATTTCATTCTAATTAGAATTTAAATAAAAAGGGTTGTAAATCTTATCATATTGTTCTACTCTCATCATGGTCATAAAATTCCAATAGAAATTGTGTCATCTAAGTTGCTAAATTTCGTTTAAATGAATATATATTATTTAAATATTCATACATTAATATTTAAATATACTTATTCAAAATGTTTATATATCATATGCAGGAGGGGGGGGCATGGAAATTAAAAAAAATTCCAGAAACATGATCAGTTCCTGATTTTCCTGCTTTTTTAAGCTGACAGTTTGAAGAATTAATACATGACATTTAGGAAAGAGGCTTTTTCAACTATCTAGCAATTCTGTAAATAGTTGAAGATCAAACCAATTGCATTTATTAATTGAATCATTAAAGTACTTTCATTCTCCTTGTAAAAGTTGCAGATCCACAAGGAAATGAGGAAAATTTCCTCTCCCAAAATTTTTCAGTAACTATTAATTTTAAGTTGTCAGGAAACTTTCAAGCAAAAATTTTCTCATTTACATTAAAACGAATAAAATTGTATCACAACTTGAGCTGACATTTGCCTGCGACATTGATTGTACACGACAATCAGATTGTATATCTGTGATACGACACATTTGACCAAACCTTTTTGAATAAAAAAATTTCCTCTCCCAAAATTTGCCTCTGGATTCACCTTTGTTGTATTATGTTACATTTATTTACTAGTAAGAATGTTGTTAGAAAACAAAAAAGTTTAATGGAAAAAAGGGGGGATTCCTCAAGGGTGAAAGAGGATCCAAAACTTTAGTTGACTCCCACTCTTGTTTTAAGATGTGTATGCCTATGATCATAAGAAAGAGATATTCTGTATTTCAATAACAAGAAGGTTGGGAGTACATTATTGTCCATTCAATTTATATAATATTTTATGCAAATAAATATTACAAAGAAAATTGGGTATTACCACATCATACTGCCTGCATTGGTATATTCAGAATCAGTTTGTGTTGCAGCCTCTTCATTTATATTTAGTCTACTTTGAGGATTCAGATTCCGTCCTGAATTTGCCTTGAAAGGAATGTACCTCACTGACGACATACTCTTTTCATATAAACACTTTCTTTTATTGTTTGTATTTATATCTGGAAGGTTGGTATCAAGGTTGCAAGTGAGTGTATATGTTCCACTTTTTCCAAAAGCACTTTTACTTATCATTCCTGACACAGGTTCTGGATAAGAACTTCTTTCACTCGCATGGTATGATGCGACACGTATGGGAAGGGTGTACTGTTTTTTCTTGAAGGTAATGTCCTGCTTTTCTGGTAGCCAAACTCTGTGGTCAACATCTCTCTTGGAACCACTCGTCCTACTACTAAGAGTTCCTCTTGTGTCCATACGGCCGCATTCGCACCCTCAAAGTGTCCGCAAATCTAGTCGTGGCTCTCGAACACATGCTAAGATGGCACTGAGCAGTGCTGACAGTTCCACCAAAACTAAGGTGAGACTCATGGCAAGAAATATTGCAATCTGTTGGCGAAACCATTCTTGAAGCTTCTCTAAACAACCCTAAAAAATACAGTATGGTACTTTTCAAGAATTAAAACATATGTTCATCAGGATTATGTTAAAATAACATGAGGGCTAATCTTAGAGTTAACAATGTCAAAAGTTTGAATTTTCATCACAGTAATATGAACAGTTTGTTTCAAGTTAGAATAATTCAGCAAGAAAATTTCAAGAAAAGACACCTAGGCATTTTGTGGTTGCTTTACAGTTTCTTTAATGCCCTCTAATTGTATTAATTTGTCAGAATTATGATAATCAATCTGTAATTAACAAGAATATGAATAACATTATTATCTACTGCAGGTTGAAAATATATTATTGTCCATTCAATTTATAAAATGCAAATGCAAATAAATATTACAAATAAAATGGAATGTACCTATAAATGTAATTTTCTATACAAAAGAAGATGTACATATGAACACCTTCTTCCAGTGCCAGCGCTAGGCACGGGCAGACCGGGAGATCACCTGGGGCCTTGCAAATCAAGGGACCTAATAATGGAACTGATAGGAAAATAATATTAAAAAATTTAAAAGAAATTAGAACTGGAGAAAATTGTTATAGTAATTTAACAAGTTATGGTACAGTAGTCTATTTCATACAATTTTCGATTAACTTTTTACCTTAAATGTGATTATAGTAATTACTTATAAGGTAGGACAGAAGTGAATCAAATGATGCTAAAATTAAAATAGGTTCTGCTGAAATTCATATTTGTAATTTCATGTATTTAAAAGTAATTTTATTAAACACTAGCTAAAAGAACAAAATTTTTAGGTCACTGCGGAAATTGTATTATTTGCTCACTAAATACTTCACATCTTTAATTTTGACACATTTTTTATTGTTTGTGCTATGTTTCAGCATTGCCCTAGCCCAAAATTGTCTAGTTCTGGCACTGTATTTTTCTCACCAAAAGGGATGAATTATTTTTACCTAATTGTTCAACTTACGTCAGTATAACGCCCTTTAATAAACATATCTTCCTGTGGGGCTTGGCACAATGTTATGTTAGCAGGTTGAGGGTCAAGAAAAGCCCGGGGGTTATCTATGGTTTTATTGGTGAGACAGCACGACAAAGGCACTTGCAAATCCCTCTGGCCAAGTTCCTTGAGATGCCACCAGGAAGTGCCATAATCTTGTGCATTATTTATTCCACAACATTCCATCTATAAACAGTTCCAATCATGCTACTTTTATGCACCATGAAGTCAACAAATAATGTGCAAATACTCCAATCATAATACAAAGGCATGAAATCATTATAAACATATACAAAATATTTGTATGTATCACACTGAGAGAAATAATGATAATAAAGTTCATCATATTGTTGAAGGAAGAACAGGATGGATGAAATACAGTTAAGTTTTTATTTCAAGAATTTTGTAAACATTGAGTAATCAGGGTTACAAGGAATGCATGCAGTAAAGTGATTACCTTTGTTTGAGTCAAATCCAATGCTGCTGTCACTTGTTCTTGGCCAGGTACTCCATAATTGTGTTGAAGAACTTCCAACAGCTGTGATGACGACATTCCAATACCAAGATATTGTGGGCACACAGCTACCAGAGCACCCAGAGTGCTTTCTCCCAATAACAAAACTACCAATAAGAAGAGATACTGCGAGAGAAATTGTATAACATTAATTCACAAGAGTAAAAAAACAATTTTTAACGTTTTTAAGATCACCATGGAAATTGTATTATTTGATCACTAAATACTTCATATTTAATTTTCACACATTTTTCATTTGGAGCAGGGGGGACACATGGTACATGGTACACAACATACTTAGTACTTAATCAATTATCAGGAAAGAATTCAGGATCTCACTTCCAGCAAAGCAAAAATATCTAGTGAGTACAAGAAATAATGAAATCATGTTCTATGGCTAATACTAAAAATAAGTTAATTGGCTATTCCCATTATATTTATGCAAATTAAATATCTCTACTTTCATCTTTTATTTAATGTTAGCTTATATTGTACTCCATACTTTGAACATGTTTAATCCATATGTATGGATGGATATTTTTTAGAGACATGTTAACCCATATAAATCCTAGCCCCCTGTTAATAAGTGTTAATAATGGCCCTGGTAATAAGTAGCATATTTTCAGTCTTCATGTGTACCGATGTCTTCAACTGTAACACTCAATATAGTAATAATTTCATCAGGTATCAGTACTAATAGCAACCACAAAAAAATTCATGTACAATTCACATACATTACTTTAAAACGCAATGCTAGATGACATATTACAAAGCCTAACTCACAGTAAAAAGTCATGAAATTAAATTGTAATTAATGAAAAAGCAAATTTGTAATTACACACGAATTCTATCCCCTTATAAATTGTGTTGAGATGTCATAACGTTGTAAAGCATTGTTAAAAAGTACAAGTATTGTACATGAAGTTTTAGTGTACAAATTTAAACTTACCAAACCAAAAAGGCAAACACTACGACCACATGAAGCCCAACAGCCCAATATTCCAATTGCACAACAAAGTAAACCTGTGGACATCATTCCAAGAGAGAGGTAATAGAACATGGGGTGAGGAAGCGGATGATTGGGACCGGCTAATCTTGACAGTAACACTCGGTGCTCATCTGTTAATAGTAAACCACCAAAGCACACCAAAGCAACACCACACCCCTGAAAACATAAAACTTTTATTTTAGAGTGACATTTTCTTGAAGTGAAGAAATTATGATGAAAATTGAAAGAAATTTTTAATCTTTCCAAAGATAGATATTACTGTACAGATAACACCAGGAGATAAAGGATAATAGTTTAATTGTCTAACAAACAGACATGATAAACTTGATTACAGTAATCTATTAAATAAACAAACCAAAAGGCCATAATAATTTCATTAGATTGACAGTAAACATAACAATTATTTTGAAAATTTCAAAATTCTTTGAGTTTTAAATAATATTAAGGCTCCCTGTGGCAGGTTTGAAACTAATTTTACTTAAAGTGTTAAAAAAAAAAAATTATACTTTTGTGACACAGGGATATTTAATTTCTCGTTTCATGGAAAATTCATTTGAGCTTTGCAATTACTGGCTATAAAGAATTAAAAAATGTGAATTCGTTCTGAAGGAATTGCACCACCATTTCGAAACAAAGGGATCAATTTATAAAATAATTCAGTTATTTCACACAAGATTTGTAGGGTGCTGAAAGTCAAATACATTTGAAAAATGAAATATAAACACTTATTTATTGTAGCAAGAAGAAAATAGAAACATTCTAATTTTATTTACTTCTATTCCATTACATTTGAAAAGAAAAGGAGAAAATTCCAATTAAAATAAATATTTTCCTCTTGCTAGTACTTTTGAGTACCATTCCCACCAGAAGCAGAAGTAGTACTAGAACATATATGTTAATAATACCATATTATTAACCATATAACATAATAATACCATATTATTATGATAAACATATATGTTAATAATAAATTTTAAATATGTGTTTCAAACTTAGCTGATGTTCAACACTTTGTAATAAGCATTTTAAAATAACTGAATCAATAAATTGATAATCATACATTAAAATAAATTGATCTATTCTCAAATTTGTTGATTTATGAAACATTTGTATCAATAGTAGCTTACTTACCAAAAACACAAAATTGCAACATACTAAAATTACTTTACTGATGTTCACTTCAGGAAATTTCATGTTAACAAGCAAAACAATACTATTTACAATTTGGTGTTAACATTCCACAAAACACAACACAGAAATTTACTCTGCAGAGCCAATCACATGCTGAGTGAGAGCAACAAAAGTTGACATATTGGCCAGCTTGCCTGGCAGTGCTTGGGCAGGGTGTTGGTGGGTGTTGGCTGGGAGGAAGCATGCTCCAGTACTCAGGGTTCCACTCTCTCCACTTCCCCCTCCAAAAGCCAATTGAGCTCCACCCTTCACACAATAGTCAACGGTGCTGGTTGGTTACTACAGGAACACAGGTCTGCAACTCATTTCACAGTTACCTCATGCCACAGTAGCATGCTCTCACTTCAGAAGAAACAATTCAAAATTAATCCCTTGTTTGAAACTAATCAAAATGAACTCAAAACTTTGCATTAAAGTTTTTTTTAAATGTTTAAAAAAACAATTGTTTCAATTTTTTACATAGATTCATTATCCCACATGATAAAATATAGCCAATAACATAAGGTAATGACAAAACAAGAGGTATCCTTTATTGTAGGCGATTTTTGTTTTATATATTTGAACAGTCATGTAATTTTTAAATTGATCTCCAACTAAAATCACAAAACAGCTCTGAGTGACTGACCTAAAGCGGCTCCCTAGCCGACTCCTTCGCCTTGGCGGCATCTTAGTTGCTTTCAAAATATGGCGCCTTTCTTCAGCGGTTCATATTGGCTTCTTGAACAGTAGGAGAAAACTGGCCCGCAAGCGAGAAGTGGCCAATGGGAGGATAAAGAACTACTGCAACAAAGCAGAGGCCATAATGTAAGTAATATGGCACAGACTTTCTCATCGAAATCATCTCAGAATCCACGTGAAATCATTTTTAAGAGAACTGGTTTTAAGAGGTTTAAAAGAAGAG